TTATATTATCACCTGAAAAAGTTCTTATCAAGAGCTCTTTATTATTTCATACCACGTCTTTGTATCGGCCAAACTTTTCAGCTTTTTGTAGAATGCAAAAACAAAAAGGAACAAACAATTAAATGCATATATTTTTTTAAATACTAAACAGTTATTATAGTCATATCCAAAGCCTGTCTATCATATTGGTTAAATGGCTCGAAAAATCCATTAAAACTTATTTAAAAGATAAAAAAACCTATCATAGTTTTGKAATTAAACTAAAATTTTATCGACCCAGACCCCGCAGTAAATGGGTGAAAGTTTTATAATTAATTTGTCTTCAGATATTTTATCACGCTTGTATTACAAGTGTACATTTCTAAGTATACGTAAATAAAGTATACGTTACATGCACGTAAATATCATAACGGCAACTTTTTCTTTTCTACTGCAAAACACGCCATCTTAAAAGTTAAGAACATTACAAGGAATATTTGTGCATTTTCTTTTTTAAACGTTAACAACATACTATTTTAAATTATCTACGATTAATTTACAGTTGTTATTAAAACTTAAAAATGTTTTATATTTTCTAATATATTGCCAGTAGTTCCAGGATAAAAAAATCATCTAACTTGTATATATACTTTATTGTATAATATATTATAATCGTCAATCAATTTCGAGTTTTTTATTATTTATCCCGTCGATAAACGGAACGTTGCTCTTGTTACGATGAAAAAAATGGTTGTAAAACTTTTTATATACATTTATAATAATATATATATATATAATATTTAGACCAATGCTCTGCACATCGATACTTCCATTTATAACATTTGCCTTGCGGTGAGTGGTTGACCCATATCCTCTAATACATTATTCTAATATACGGCCATTTCGTCAGAAAAACGACATAAATCACACTGAGGCTTTATCCTGTGGTATAATATCTGAGGGAAAAACGTAATAATATACACTCCCCAGATATGTTTATGGTTTACCAGACATATACGACTGTCCGAGTTTCAAAATTTTTCCCATTTCGCATGGTCACCACTTGACCATCAAACTATATGTAGGTATAACCGATAGGTACTATGACAATACTAATAATGTACATACATCTTGGGGAAATAATTTGGGGCTATCGAATTTTTTCGGACCAGATTCGTTGGCGAAGGTCCAAATATGCTCTCGTACGCAATCGATAGAGCGTCTTCAACCAAAATGTTTCCCCAGATACAGGGCCTGGCCATTAACGAACGAAATGTAGCAATTTCGAGGTTAGAACGAAAATAAAAATCTTGATCGTCGTCTTTTAAAAAGTGTTATCTGTATGAGAATATTAAATATCAGATGTGTTTTTATACATTAATATTATAAACATTTTAAATAATTAAAATAAATAAGTAAATAATAATGTTTGTGGTTTCTTGAGTAGGATTTAACAAATCCAGCATATCGACCATGAAAATATTATATGGATCAATAGCAATCATAAGAGTTCTATACATAAATGGTAGCATGTATTAAGTAAAACAAACCTATTTTTTATTTTTTTTTWWATTTAAAATCGTTTTAATTCCCTTTAGATAGTGAACTAATGTAAGTAAGTTTAAAATGGCGAACAATTGTCATGTTCACCGGGTTGCGTGGTTATACTTAGTATTATAAAATATACAAATGCACGAAATCAATATATTTTTTGGTAAGACGTTTCATTGCACTAACCACTGAGTGTTGAGATAGAATCTCGTTCCATCAACTGCAAGGGTCAAGTGGAGTGTAAAATTCAGATCTTGATCGGGTGCATACACCACCACTTACATGTCTTACATAATATAAATGGACAAAGCATGTTTGCTTATCTAGTTCAAAAATAATATTTAAAACAGAAAAATAATAGTTTTTATAAAAATGTTAATTTATAATACTTATGTAGGAGATTTAATTAGCTATATTTTTAGTTTTTATTATTTGTTTAGATCATCAAGTATTATTGCACACATTRTTAGTGTTTATTAAGACATAAACGCCGGACATATTTTAATATGTCTGATAAATGTTTTTCTATCAAAGTGTATTCTACTAATATTTTATTCTACTAATAAGCAATGTTATAACATAACATACTATTTAACTAAAACTTCGTGGTCTTGTCTTCGGGTCGCAAATTTACACTAATTCACATACATTTTTCCGATGTGGTTTTAATAATATGATAAGCTGCATATTATCTAATTTAAGTGATCTATATTATATTTTAACAAAAATAAGACAAAATGATGATATTGCTAAAAAAATGAATACTATCGTATGTTGTGCCAATATTTTATCAAAGTTTTTCTCAGATTTCCCAAATATATAATATAATATAGCTACTCATGTCTTAATACATATTATGTAAATACAACMAATTCTAAGTAAACGCTGTAGAGGCGTATTAAAGACTGTTTCTATACACAAACCTATGAATACTATAAGAAACTAATGTATTTATACGTCCAAACCATTACGAGACGACGCCCATTGCGTTATCCCCCATAAACAAGCTACTAGTTTCTGCGGCCCAGAGGTGATATTTTGGAAGTGCAGTCAAGACTCGCTTAACCAAATTTCTTTCGCACTTAAAATCATTATATTAAACGTATTCTCGGACGTTAAAAAAATTTGGTTGACTATAAATCGTTAATCGTAATTCATTTTTTGAATTAGATTTCACAGGCTGTGGCCCGGAGAAAACTGGTCACTGCCGACTAAGTTTCTTAGGTTTCAACAGAATATAGAAGAACATACCTACTCGCCAACAGCACAGTGATGAGAAAACGTTTTCATCAAAAATCATATTTTTAAACAGACGTTGAGTTAACGAATGGTCACGAGACGGATGCCGAAAAAAATTAATAGATGATCGTCACGACTGTCGCTTAAGACTTGATAACCAAAAGTAAATATCGTGGTTACCCACTCATTGCGAGTAAATCATAAACAAATAAACCGCTGTTTCYGGTGACTGGAACAACKCGGGTTTATAGAACATAACAAAAAAAAAATAATAATATATTTATCGTTAAAATCCTACGGGATACTAACTAGCACGGTACGTCTATACGATGGTGATCACAGCTGAGTAGTGCGCCGACCATATTTTTTAYGGTAAGTACCACTTACGAGTAACCAYGCTATTTTCCGTCGGTATAAGATAAATAAAAAAAAAGGTCGTTGCAGACTTATCCAGATAATTTTCTAGTTTTTGTGGTACAGAAGAAATACGTTTCGTGTTCTCTTCTCAATGGGATGGCTTAGAATTTATTAAACATGCATACTGTTTTAATATTATGATATAGGTAGATTTTGAAAATCAGAAAAAAAAACTTGATAAAATAATCTAGTTTTTGGCAATCTATGTTGTCGGGGATGTTGGGCAACGATTGTGGCGTAATTACACTTAAGTGTATCCGTCTCTTTACGAAATAAATAATTAATAAAACAAACAGTTATATTTAATCACTCATAATACTTATGTAATGTGATTAAGTGTTTAAGTACTACTTATCAGCTATATATATATATATATAATATATATATATATATGTATATTAGGAATATACTTAAAACTATAAGCTAAGTAAACAACAAAAATTCAGGGCAATAACTCACAAGTATTGATAATTAAAAATCCTGAAATAATATAATATATATATATATCATCCATAGACCTATAATAGGTCTATGATATCATCCTTGTTCAAGTAATATGATGATGTTATAAACCACTAATGCTAGAAACATTACAATTTCAGTTCCTTCTCATAATTATTATAAGTATTAGAAATTTACCATAAATGYATGGCTATTATTAAATTAATCTATATATGTGTCCCTAAAATCGATCTAATTAGKTAGTCAATTTGTTTTCTAAATGTTCAAAATAGATGCTGCTTTCACATAATATCAGAATTTAAAATCCATACATAAATAAAAAATGGCATTTTGTTACAGGTACAGTCTTGTTAGAAATTAGAAATTTAAGAAGCATTTTAATTTTCAAATTTAAAATACATATTATTTTGTAGTCAAAAAAAATTTTAACACTGTATATCATTTAAGCAACGCCTTTTGAATTTATTATTTCCTTGTGTTATTTATTTTTTGTGTGAAAAATAATAAACAGCTTATAATTTAGATATTACATTTYAATATCTTAATAATTRTTGTTTGTGAATAAAAAAGCAAAAGGCATCTGTGAAATTTACCCGTCTCCCAAAAGTTTCAATATAGATGTAGGTATATTGTTAGCCTGGATAAAACTTTTTTCCTAACAGATTTTTTTGCGTAACGCTTTGTTTATCACCATAGAAACACAAATCAATAAAAATATATATATTATATTAAAAACCAATCTATAATAAGTCTTTATTCATTAAATTGCTAACAAAATGTAGCATGCTAAATTTTTTGACATAAATTTGTTTTGCGCTGTATTCACGATAAAATAACCGATTTTTCTTAATATTTTTGCTGTAACGATTACTTATTAACAAAAACATATTAATGTTTCATATACTGTCTTCTTAAGGTAGAAATATCTGGTAGCATGCAACATTTTGTTTTATATTTTTCACTCAATTCTAAAAAATCTCGATATTAAAAAAAATTTCAAAATATCAATGAAGCAATTTGTAAACATAAATAATATTTTTTTGTAAAATATGAAGTACCTAATTAGAAGTTTATAAGTAGTTACGGCCGTTGGGAAACCATTAAACCGATACCATAGATATAAGGTAACCAACCTACCTTTTTTCAAGTATTGGGTGTAATTTTTACGATCAAATAATAAAGAATATTGGAATGCTTGAAAATATATTATAATATGCGTGTGTTTTGGGTAAGTATCTTTTTCTTTTTTTTTTTTTAATAAAAATTACCCACCCGTGCTCTTCATATTCAAAATTTATATTTATTCAAWYACACACACATACACTCAACTTTACAACATCCGAACGACTTACCTTGCACGAATCGCACGACTTGGCGGAGTACTTCTGTTTGCAGTCGTACCTGGCCAACACCTCGTTGAACTGGCATGACATGGCAGCCGCGATATCGTCCATGTCAAGCGCCTTGTTCACCTGGTCGACACACGAATCCTTGTCCACGTACGGCTGCTGTACTACCGACTCGACGGTGTGGTGGCAGCAATGCCGGAGCCGGTACCGAGACAGTCGGCCGGGCCGGCGGTATGCGGCCGGGTCGTCCGGGCACATGGCCGGTATGAGCTGCCGACGGGCGTATTCAAGGCACTGATGATTACTACTACTATTATTATTATTATTATCGTTATTATAACTATTAATATTATTACTATCGTTATCGTTATTATTATTGTAATCGTAATTAACATTATTATATTTTTTATCATTATTATTATAATTATTATTATCGTTATCGTTATTATTATTGTAATCGTAATTAACATTATTATATTTTTTATCATTATTATTATAATTATTATTATCGTTATCGTTATCGGGACGTTGGGCGCACGGGATGGCCGCGGGACACCGCGGCGGGCCCGGGCCCTCGCTTATCTGTCCGGTGCACGCCGGCTCCCGGAGCGACACGCGCACCAATTCGCAGGCCGCGGTGCCGGCCGTCGCGTTGTCCGCGGCCGGCGGCGGCAACGACGACGGTGGTGGCTTTGACGACGACGGGGACGGGGACGAGGACTGCGGCCCGGTCCGGTGCATAGCAGCGACCACGGTGACCGTGGCCGTGGCGGCCGTGACGGTGGCCGTAGCGGCGTACGCCGCGGTGGACGTTGGCGAGGCGCCGGTTGCGGTCATGACCAGCGCTGCGAGCACCATCGGCCAAATGACGACGAGACGGATGAGACCGCCGCCGGTGCTGGCAGCGCGCATTGTACCGCCCGAACCGGCGCCACCACTCTATCACAACCGATCCGGCCGTTTCGCCGCGGAATCTGCATTTTTCCTCCTTGTACCTGAAACATACGAAGAAACGTTTCAATATTGCGAAATGTTAAAAAAAAAATATTATTGTTACGATATTCGCCCATTGATCGCGACTCGCGAGGAGGGCCCAAGTACGGAACACATTATTAATATTATTAATTTTTACAACGTTTATAAAATTATAATACATAATATAAATAAGATACATTAAAATGTGAAAAATTAATGACATAAAATACATGACCAAAAATAGGTAGTTAAATATTAACGAGTTAAAAGGTTTAATTAAACTAGAAAATTATTTGTTTTTTAAATTTTTAGCCTGACAATTTAACTACTAATAAAAGTGACGGTTGAAATAATTTAGGATTTTCGATGTTTTTAAAAATAATCTATCAAGTTAAAATTATTAAATTACAGTTTACTCTATTGTAAATAATTAATATAATCTAATTATTGTATAAATATATTAACTAATWATACGATATAATTGTTGTTATGTCTTGAAAAAAATGGTGAGTATATAACATAGAYAACCCCATAACCCTGAACCCACAAGCACAAGATAATCTTTTTGTGATCTAAATAGGTACTAATTTTAAAAATAGATTCACTTATTTTAAATCTAGTTAATTTGATATTTTTTTTTTAATTTTAACTTTAAACTTATCGAGTTAAATGTATAGGTTTTAACTATTAAATCCCAACTTAACGATTTTACGTTAATTTAACTTGAGTTAATTATTTTAGTTTACTCATCCATCCTTGTAGCCTACAGGTATATACTATAGTATTATACTATAATATGCCACAGTGAATAAAAACAATAGTCTATTTATAATGATAAATATTGCAGGCTAGTAAAAATAATATTATATTGAAATAAAATATACGTATCAACACRTATAAATTATAATTAAAAATATCAGTAATGAATGAGTTTGAAAAAATTTACTCAAGAGGTATGTTATAGCTATACAAGTCTTTTGTATCAAATAAATAAAAATGATTTAGCGTACTACATCGGGAGATACAATCAATGGGATTATTAGAACCATATATATTATGGACTACGATGCATTGCATAAATTGAAAATGTAGGACAAGAGCTTGATTGGTATTGATGTGTCATTATAAAGTATTATAAAAATAATAATATTTAATAATTGAACTACATCATAACGGAATTCGATCAGTAGCGTATTCAATGGAGCAAATATGTAGATATTCACAAACTCTGCCCCTCGCAATTTATTTTTTTAACTCTGTCAAAAGTGGGATAAAATATATCGTCTACAATTGTGTATGATATTAATAATCTTCGTGTAYATTGTTTTCTAAAATTTAAGTAATTGAACATTATGAATTTTATTTAAGCTATTTATACTCACAATTTTTATGTTGAAATGTATAGACAGGTGCGTAATTAATTCGTAGTTACTTGTTATTTGATTATAATTGAGGTAATTTAACTTAAATAATTTATTAAAAAAATAGAAATATTGTCTCTACATCTAAGTAATTATTTTATTGGTCTCTTTTTATAATGTGTACGGACTTTTTCCTTTTTCCTTAATCCACCATTGAGCGAACATACGCGTCTTGTATAGGAATGTATAAAAATGGTAATCGTGTGAATTCAGTGGTCGATAGCTGTTTAGCGAAATGTGTTTATGTGTTCCCAACCTTTTATTCTAACGAAATTTTGTTTTTACCTTCGGATAATTTCCTAAGCCACGWCTGTTTCAGTAACAATATCAAACATATACGAGATACTTGAATGTTTTACAAGCGATATCTTAACCAGCCCAAAATTATAATATAGACGTGTACAGTATCTTGAAACACCGTGTGCTATGAGGTACCTACACTAAAAACAATTAAAAATAATGACTTAAATTACTAATATGAAATAAATATAAGCAAGAGAACACTAATCGATTGTACGCAATAATAAATTTATGTGTTAGGTATCTAATTAGAATGAAAAAAAAAACTAGTTAAAGTAAATCTTGGTTTACTTGAGCAATTCATACTTATTTCAATCATGGCTCATTATGACTGCTCGTTTGTGAGATTTGAGTTTGATAATAYATGTAGATTTTTTACTAGTGAATACATAAAAACGTCAACTTTTATAAAAACCATTCACTAAAATTGTCACAAAAATGGAAAGAATATCATTATAGAAAGGTTAGGTTGAAAATAATATCGAAACCTTCAGAAAATAATAATTTGAATGACGAATTTCATTGTTGTGTCCTTAACACATATTAAATGTTAAATAATTGAAATAAGTGAGAAATTATTTCTTACTGAAATAACCATACGAAAAAATTGATAAAATGCCACACACATCATTCTAAGAAACTTAAATAAAGAAAAGATCACATGATCTGACCTATTTTCATATCTGCCATAAATGCATATTGCAGGTTCAAAATAAAAAATACAAAAAAGTTTCTTCGTCCTTTCTTTTTATGAATTATCAGACTTAAAATTTATCAGGCTTATGACCAGCACTCTTTACTATAACAARAAAGAAGCCGTTGGCTCGTTAAAGGATTTGCATTTTTCATAAGATTACGTGCATACGAGTTTTTTGTCTATAGTGTCATAAAACGGAATATCGAATCCTCATTTATAACCGTTTAAAGCTTAATACAATTTATTTTTAATAACAATACTTTTTTGATGTAAAAAAAAACAACCTCAAATGATTTTCAAAAATAATAAAAACATTTAAACATATGTAACGTTTCAACTATAATTACAATACGTTCACTGTTAAAACGGTTACCAAATTTAATTTTTCTAAAACCGCTTGCCTACCTAATCATGTTACAATATTGATTGTATATRTAATAGAATGTTCCAGGATTGAACATATTAATTGATAAACGATTACTATAATGTCTACAACCGATAAAACACGCGTATCTACCAATAATATTCTTAAACCTTTAAATTGTATATTTGTAAGTAAAAGGTTTCAAAAATAAATTTAATCTGCATAAACATCTTATTTTGAATATATCAATGTTTGATATACCTAAGTGAGTATTTTTATACACATGGATCAGGTATACTAGGGTCATATTTAGTATTATCACAAGCAAACATTTTGTTTTTTCAGTATAACTTATGAGGTACTTGACAAAAACGCTTCTAAAACCTTTCCCCGTAAAACCGAAATCCTTATTCGAATTTAAAACAAAGGATCACCGAATGACATGTCTAAACACGACCCGTTTAATACGCATTTGGCGACGTGCGCAAAACCTGAATCAACCGTCAGCTTATACCTTTCAGGATCTTTATCCCATTCAAGGATCAAAAAATAGTGGTCGACAAGTTCAGTCTCCGATTGCAATCTCGGATTGATTGCTTCCGGATCTTTAAAAGCCATTTTTCAAATGGTTCAGCGTCAAAAATGTGTAGTATTCTATCCAGTCATAGAAAAATTGATTATAATACCAATTATTCGAATTTGTAAAAAATCAAAAGTTAAAACAATATATGTACGACAACTAAAAAAAATTAAAATTCCATATCATTCATAACGGTTTCACATTTTCACAAACCTGTAACTAGTTAGATAGGTATTATAACATGTTGAATATTAAAATAAGGTAGTTAYAGCTCACAGTTGTTTTATTTGTTTTTGTTTTAATTGAAATACTTTAATATATGCGATTTCCAGCTAATATGTAAACATGTTATCAAACGATTACAATTTATAAGAATTCATGAGAGGTGGGAAATACTGGAAAATATACCTACAGAAATGGTAGCTATCAAAATAAGTATGAAAGTGCATATCGTGTAGGTCCTTGAGAAAAAGTGACTATTTGTGCGTTGAAAGTTTGTTTTTGATAAGCAATCGCAATCCTCTTTGTGACTATAGAAATTATTGGCTTTAAATTTTACATTTGTAGGCGGGAACAATAAGAAAAAATAATTATTATTAAAAAAAAAATGATCCACTGATAATCCTYTGATAATCCTTTTTAAAAAAAGAGTTACTTTAATACTTTATGCGTTAATTATTTTAAAATAATCCAAAAATACTATAATAATTTAAGTAAGAAAAAATGATTTTTAAATGKATGCATATTGCAATCTCGTGCTATTGTCATAAAAAAAAATATGCAGTATTATCAAATTGAAAAATTGAAAAATAAACGGTGTCGCCAGCTTATCGATTCGTATAGTGCTTGAAACGGTATTACACGTCATACTTTTGTAACTGTCAGTTTGATTAATTTTTTTTTCTGTGTCACCGCTCTGTATCATACACAAAATGGATAACACATAAGACTATATATGCATTTCACTACAGATAATAATACTAATAATAATGTTTACTAGTCATTAAACGTCTAGTGTATTTAATACAAAATATATTGACACGCATCGCAGCGTTCAATAGAATATTATTACACGAAACACGTCATGTAATATTCTGAAAAAATAGCACAATAATAATATTATGTTTATTTTAATAGGTACCTATATTATACACCCACGTATCATGTTAGTATATTTTCGTAAAATATAATAATGCGACTATATTGTACGTGTATATTATAGTAAGTATATATTTGTAACGACTGGAAGTAATAATAATATCGCTTATAAAGCCGTTGGTAGTCCGACACCAATTTCCGCGAAAATATACGTATAATACCAACGTATCGTATTACATAGTCCTGTGTTATACGTATACGTATCACATAAAATAATAATTTAATAAACGAACGCGTTAACTAATCATAAAATATTTTCCAATAGGTAATATTATATTATCGTGCCGTGTGCTGCTATTATGTTTGAACGTTCAACGTTCAAACCAAACTGGGGGTGGAGGATGTCAAGGCCAAGACAATTTATACAAAAATATTCACTGTATGTAGGAGGTAGTCGGCCAAGTGTACATATTTGTAAAGTCTCTATAATACAATAATGATAGTCAGTGCCACGTCATCCAGCAAAGGTATACACTACACCCGCACACTCACATACATAATATTGTAATAACAGTAATAACATTATTATCGTGTTTAACTATTCGACGGGTGGTTCGTTTTCATCGGCAAGTGTAACCCGCCGTCTTTATACGTGGTACCCTCCAATATCGCATTACGGATTACTTCGGTGTTAGGTGGGTGAGACGGATGGATGGTGGGTAGGTGAAAGAGCCGGCGGAGGATCGCGAGAGTCGTAGCGTTTCCGAGAGAATTACTGAAAACAATTTCTGAACAGTACCCAGAGGTTCGTCGAGGAAGTGTGCGTATTATATTATTATTGTTGTCTAAACATAATAATAATATGTACTTATAATACATAGATAGAAAAATAGTATAATAATTTATTATATTCGACGAGCATACTCTCGCTCGTTACGCACGTCGTGAACATCCATCTCATATTTTGAAATTAACATTGTCAGCGATATTATATTATTATTTCCTCCCACGATATAAGATCAAAATATTATTTTGAACATCGTACGTAACAATACGCGTCCGAATTTCTTCACTGTACRTTTTCCTTTACGTCATATTATAATATCGTTGGRACTTGACATGGGTACTTACACGCACAGATGACTATAAATTAAACTGTTGCGGATCGCGTGTAAAAAATTGTCAACAAAAAATAAGCGCTCGTAACGTCAACGACAATATATTATGGTTACGGCGTAAAKCTGGTATAAAGCAGTGGTAGGTATATAAAAAATAAATATTTATTATTATYATAACGAYGCATTACACTACAACAGTACGTACCTACTACCTACATACTTTATAATAATAATATATAAATACGGTTACGAGTGATAATGGCGTGCACGGTTGCAGATTTCCTCTGGCCGTTTTATTGTCTTATCGATTTTATTCGCAGCCGCGGGGACGACGGCGTGAAGAAGAGGCGGCAGACGAACGCGATAACCGTAAAATAAAAATATTATTATCTTCGGATTGTCAGAGTCATCATTCGCGTATCGTTAGGTACCTGAGTATATAATGTTATGCGAATTTAACACATTTTGTATACCAACTGTGAAAGCACTTATTAATGATAAACACCGCGTGACGGCCGGACGATTACCGTAACGCGGTTTCCGGTAGACTACGTAACAACACTACGGTCGGGGTACGCCCGGTCGACCGGCGGGGACGATGGGGTGAAAAGAGACGAATAAGTTTAACGAATAACGACGTTTCGAAACGATTTTCGATGGGTAAACTATTTTCTACAGTTATCACGAGCTTRCGGCAGAAGGATAAGAACCGAAAGAGTAGAAAAAACGTTTCTGGTTTCGCGTGTAGCAATAGTGTGCAATGGACGAACAGCACAAATTGAAGTAATTATTAGTTGGAGAATATGTTTTGCAATAACTCAACGATGATTTACATAATCACATCAGTGTTATATAATTATCATATATGACGTATTACAAAATTAGGCAACATATAAAATTGCAATATACTTAACATAAATGTATATTATGTTTGATTTGTTTACATTTTTCACCATCTTTAAAACCGTTAAATTATAATAATAGCAAAATTGAGTTGAAAAAAATTCGTTCAATAAGAAGCAATTTTAGGCACAATACTTTGAACCCGGGGGGGGGCAGATAAAAAGAGTTTCCCATTTCTATACCACTTCGAGTAGACGCTCGTAGGTAGTTATAGGTATATATCGTTGTTGTAGAACAAAAAATAAATAAAATATTTCACAAAAAAATATTTAAAAATATCGTAATCATTACTTGACGGATGAGTCGGTAGCGCGTAGTGGTGGCGGTGGCGATGGTGATGGTAATGTTGTACAACAGCTGCAACTGCCTGAGGAAACGACGATTTGACGACTTTGGTGATGCGTTGTAGCGTCGTGTCGACGCCAGAGATCATGTCGCGTCGCCGGGCTGGTGACCCGCACAATCGACCATAACAACACAATAAGGCCCGCGACGGCGGCGGTCCGCTGGCCGCACACGACGACGACGTTGCCGTAAAACGGTGCGGGCTACGCGGCGGCCCATAATATCAGTGTAGATGGTGGCGTAACGCGGCTGACCACCGAGTCGTTGTCGCCGCCACCGCCGTAGTGGTAATAACAGTCGTTGCAACAACGGTAAACGCAATTATGGTTTTGGTATCAGTAGTATTGGTAGTGGCGACAGTATGATTGGTAGTATCACCAGAAGTATTATTATTATTAATAGTAGTAGTAGTATTAGAATTAGTAATAATGGTAGGAGTAAAAATATTATCGGTAGTCGTAGTGGTGTCGGCRATAATAATGTCGGATGAGGTAGCAGTCGATTCGGCAGCAGCAACGGTAGTAGTACAGAACGCAGCGACGGTAACAGCGGCAGCGGCGGCAGCAACGGCGGCACGAGTAATAGTGAAGCCGGCGGAGGCAGCGGCGGCGGCGGTAGCGTTAGTAGCGGTGGCGTTAGTAGACATTAACGGCGCGACCGTCGTCGCGTACGTCGACGACACCGCTGACGCGGTCATGACCACAGTGGCCGGTGCGCCAGCGTCCGGCGGTAACGCTCGGACCGTTTTTTCTATGTTCCTGGAATCGAAGGATTTAAAGGAGAGGAAAACGACGAGAAATTGTAAATCRAACGATACGAGCGGACTTTTAGGACCGCTCCCCCCACGCGGACCTTATCACGTTACTTGTGGTTGTTGTTGTTGTTGTTATCGTTGTCGTTGCTACTCGTTACTCTTGCTATTAATATTTATATAATACGTCGCTAGATTTTATTATACGCCTCCTCCGGCCGTGATAATTGTTCGTTGAGCGAACCGAAATCGCTGCCGAGCATGCAAAAACACAACCGTGCGCGCGCGCACACACACACACAAAGACGCAAAACACGCGGCCGCGGTTAGAAACACTTGCAAAAATCGGTGGGGGCGCGACTGTCCGCGAGACTACTCTATACTGCACCGCGTAACGAGGTCCAAAGTATATAAAGAGCGGAGCGGCGCGAGAGGGCGCCGCAGCGGTGGCCATCTTTCGCCGCCGGCCGATCGATATGACGCGCGCGCGAAGCACCCCCTCGCCCCACGCGCGCTTGACGGTTCCACCGACCCCGACAACGCGGTTTTTCCCGGCGCCGGCGCACGCACACGCCATCGCGGTTTATACTACCGTTACTATATACTTGTGTGTATGTATATACTTGTACGTTAGGTACATGGACAAATGTATATAATGCATATATATATATATATATATATATATTATACGTATTATATGTGTATACGTCGGGCGTGGCGAAACTTCGCGGTGTGGAGGGGTGGTTTTTAGGATCGAACGTGGTGGGAGGTGGTAGCGTGAGGGGTACTGTATAGACGACAGCGCGGGGTGACCGCCACCGCACAGTATTTTATCGGCCGACAGTGAAAAAAGAGAACCACTACGACAACGACGACAACGACGACGACGACGAACAGTATATACAGTACGAGTGGTAATAGTGGCGGCGGTGGCGGTGGCGGTGTATCAGGATGAAAAAAAAACCTCTAATAGATAATGTGTTCACTTTCTTTCAACCCCCAAGCCCCGAGCGCCCATCGCTTTCTCTCATTTCTCTCCATCATTCCCTATCACTCTGTCCCTGTCTCTTTCTCTCCTTCTCTCTCGCCCATTTCTCTCCGTCCTTCCCCTTTCACTCACTCACCCTGCACAGTATATTTTCTCCCGAAGCCGCGTACGATCAGCCATCACCAGCACCACACYACCGCCCACGTCCCGGTTCCAATASTTCTGGACACATTCGATCACGGTCGTAAAACAAAAATACAAAAAAAAAAATTTGAAACAATCGCCACCCACCCATGAACCGATCGGCCGAATATCAGATACACACTTCCTCTAGCGCAGACTTGATTTTATTGCGGCCTGTGAGTCGTAACTGAATTTACACATGTTATTCATGCAATATTGACATATAGGTAAACATAAATAAAATTAATAATAAATTCTACCTCCCTCACTCACATTCACCAAGTAGGTACTGCAATCGAATATCGMAATGATAACGAACTGCAGGAATGTTATTTTATCGTTTCCGAAATAGATTCTTGAGATAATATCGGTTAATTATTTAACAGCTACGAGTATATAATACCATAAAAATTGTATTCGAAATCACTCTAAGAAAAATGTATTGTTTGAATTACATTTTTCAAATACATAATAAAAATATTATAGTAAAGTTATTTTATCAGAAGAAGGCTTAACATTTATAATTCAATAACGAAAACAATTTCGGTGAAAAGACTAACTGTAGCAGATAAACAGATAATAACAATAATTTATAAATTTAAAAACTAATAAGCATAAAGAAAAACTGTCTGTGGGCGTAGCCGCGACACTATCTCCCCTCAAATATGACGCAAAATGCGTTTTTGTTATTATCATTATTGTTATCGCTATATGCGGTCGTTTCGCCACTGATTATTATTATTATTATTATTATTATCATCGGATCGGTGAACAAAATGTATCTTTGACTACTCGGTATGAAAAGCTGATAAAACTCGCCGGTAGTCGCTTATTGAAAAACATCGAACAATGTACATATGTGTGTCAAAAATGAATTCGCTATATGAGCAAGAAGACAAGGAGCATTTCACGTTTCAATAACTTCGACGTGATTTGTTATTTAATAAAAACGCGGTTCTTTAATTTGACACGCAAAGTAATCTAATTCTGTTTTCACGATTGAAACATGACGTATTCATCATTGGCACCACTTTGTCTGCATAACTACCATCCTTTCAGTGACATAAAATTATTAATATGATATTTAAATGGTTGTGAAATTAATATCACTTGGATTTTTTCAATATCGCTGTATTTTTCGATATGATATTATGTAATTTGTGCAATTATTGTATCATTATTAATGTTCCAGTTCATCTGCATAATCATAATAATATAGTAATAAAATAATCCATATTGACGCGCAAATAACTTCGAATCATCACTGGGACGAATTATTAATTTCAAGTGTTCAATAACTGTATGGTTCATGTATAATCTTGTTGGTCCACAAATAATATAATTCTGTCATTCTAAAGTAATGCTCATACTAAACAGATTAAATGGACCTTTTGAGAAAATAATTTCTTCATATCCGAATTGATATCTTTTCTATGTTTCGATAACACTATATTCTCTTACTGATAAATATGTACAGTTAGTACAAGGCCTTATAAAGGAGGGTCAACMTATAGGTTCAACCCCCTCCCCCAAAATATTTTACAACAAATAAATTTAATTTATAATATTGTATATTGTATATAATATTAATTTACTTTAAAATAGTTATACATTAACATAGTAAAATATGATTTTTTTTTTAAACAAGTGTTTTTTTAATTACTGAAAATGAAAATATTATTTGATTCGTTAAATATTAAAATAACAGATTATTTGGTAACTTTGGTTTTTTTTAAAGATTTGTTCGATCTCAAAAATAATTATATGGAAATTATGTATGTGTAATATTTAATTTTACAGTGTAATCTTGGTAATCCAACCCCTGAAAATTTGTTCCAGCTACGGCTCTAAGTTAGTATATGTTATAACGGTATAACAGTTTTTATTTTTAAATAATGTTGTAATCATTATTATAATACAGTGTTTTTTTTTTTTATATAATAAATAATTGTTATCATTTATATTTGACAGATACAATTAATATATGATAGATGGTTGGTAAAAATAGTTTTAATAAGAACTCAATTCAATTAATCAAGAACTCATTAATATTGGATATAAAACATAATAAACTTAAAAAATAACAACTCAAATTAATTTATTAAATAAATTGTTTTCAAATTAGTATTTTGCTGTTTAAGACGAAAAAATTACAGACAAGGTTTGCAATAGTTAACATTTATTCACTATTAAAKACAGCCTACCACTGATCAGGAAGAATATATGCCATAAAGATCTAAATTGTACTTTAAATCATACAAAAATAAACCRAAGAACATGAACATTTATATGTGTWGTTTAGTCAACTTCTGGGGGGTGGAATTATTATATATGTATAAATAAACCTCAATATATTTTTTTTTATTTCACTTCGTGTATAATTTAATAAATTATTATCTTACCAAGTATTCAACGTTTTTACCTCGTTTTCTTTCGTTAAAAAGTAATGATATTAATATATTTGCATGATAAGGAACGTTTAAATCTATTTAATTTTAGCCGCAATYTCCATTGTCTGAACGGTTTCTTGGCATCCGTTTGCAATTCCATACCATTTGGTCTATCGCCATTTAAAAGCCACTCCTTTCTATATAAAACAGATCGTTTTTCTCTCAGAATTACCCTAGTGTTTAAGTCAATCGTTTTGCGTATAAGGAAATTATAAACGTCCAAGAACTTATAAATTGTTGAAAATGGTAAAATATTTTTTTTTTCAAAAATAAAACTATCACCRCTTAYAGTCAAACATCTAAATGCACAATTAAATTATTACTACATAATTAGAGTAAAACAACATTTTTTGTTATTATTCCGTATACCTAATGACAAAATTATAAAAATATTTAATATAATAAACTTGTGGTTTATTTTTTTAGCAAGATAAATAACGGTAAAAATTGATATGATTAATTAAGTACTTTTGAATCTTATGCATCATAAAAACTATTCGTTAAAAAATAATAAATCACCACTATCCATTTAGGTGTTTATTTTATACAAGTTTAGTACTACRYCCGATCAAAAATATGCATTACTTTTAAATATGATATACTGCATAAATTAAAATGTCATAATAATAAACACACGATATAAATATAAGACTTTAAGACAAAGGAACAGGTAGTAATAGTCGGGCTTAACTATCTGATTTCATTATGATATTGTAGTGTTTTTAAATTTATACCTTTAAAAATTGTACTTGACGTTGAGCCAATTTATATTTGASAATCTCATTAAGACTAATATTTATTAAATTATTTATAATTTAATATATTTCATGCGTTTGAATAATAAATTAACAGTCGAACGGCACTTTAGATATGCAATTTAGCTACACAACTGTGATAATCCCACTATACCGGCATCGAATTGCTGTAACATAAAATAACTTTAATATTTAAGATGGAACTAGACGTATTTAATACGACATTGTTTCTTAACTAGAAATATCAACTAAAAAAACCCTTGCGCCGACGTTTTCACCAATCAAGTCAAGTCACTCAATGATATAGAAAGAAAAAWGTGTTCACGTGAAACAGTATAAGCCCAAACCAAAGTGATCCAAAATTAGCCCTATTCAAAATTATACATTTTTATTTCTGATTTTATTAAATTTAAAAGTATTTATACGACATATTTTAAATAATTTCTCATAGATTTAAAACTGTAATAAAAAAAATAACATTATAAACGAAACCGTATAAATAGCATACATGGAAAAACAAACTATAATATGTTATTCATAAAAACATTAATGATAAAAAATAGAAACATA